TACTGAAATTCGCTTCGTCTTCGCATCGCCATCCCTAACGTAGGGGATAACGAGTCTGGGGTTTTTGTTTCCAATTTCATCAATTCACCATCCAAACCCAAGCACCATACGAATCGATTTTGGTTTTCCTTTTTTGAAATCGATCGATCCAAAGGGCAGCAACTGAGGAATCCGAGGTTTTTTCTTTTCTTTTCTTTTCAGAATCCAAAAATGGCAAATCTGTACGTGAAGGCCGTGCTGCCGCCGGATCTGAATCGGAACACCGAGTGGTTCATGTACCCCGGAGTGTGGACAACGTATATACTCATTCTCTTCTTCTCCTGGCTCCTGGTTCTCTCCATCTTCGGTTGCTCCCCCGGCATGGCCTGGACCATCGTCAATCTTGCCCACTTCCTTGTATGCTTACGTTTCTCTGTTTATCGATCTTCTTATTGTATGTTATGAAGGTTTTAGTTGTTTCGTCTTCATTGCTGAATTGGGTCTTTCCCATTTTTGCTAATTCTTCTCCCGTTTGTTGGTGGTTAGGGTTTTGATTTAGTGGTTTTCTGATTAAAGTAGCGTTATTAATGTTGTAGCTCATTATCTTTGCTGTGTCTCTGTGATGATTGTATATGGAATGTCATTAAATGCTTTAATAGGTTCTGTTTTTGTACTCTTGTTTGGGGTTGAAAGTGCCAAAATTAAAAATTGATTTTTGTTTTTGGTCATGTTTATTCAGGTTTTTGTCTTTTTTTGTTTTTCTTGCATATCCAAGGAGGAAATTTTACTTGGAATTCAGTTCCTATCACAAATAGTTATCTGGGAAACTGAACTTAGCATTGTGGAAGAGACGCATCTCAAATAGAGCTAATTTTCATGTTGTTAACTTGTTATTGGGCACACTGAGATGATGATCCTTCCTGTTTAGCAAATGGTAGATGGATTATCCTTCTGTCAGATGTATGTTTTGGAGTTGTAAATAAACTGATGAGTCTTCTTTGTTTTTGGTAACTGATGTGTGAGTTTGATATCTGCATCCATATTAACTGGTTATGTACGGTAGAGAAGAGAGGAATTAGTGATTTGACAATTGATTACTTGCTGTTGAGTTCCTGGATGTCTAGGTATCAGGAAAGATATTCCATTCAAATACTGGCATCCAGATCCAGTGGTATATCCACAAGTCTGTAGTGTAAGACGTACTTAATTCAGCTATCTTAATGCTTGTTTGTGTGTATCTACTGAATGCTCAATGTGCTGTCTGTGGTTCTGATAAACTTATATGAAAGTCCTTTTATACCTATATCAGCATTTTGCAATAAAAAACCCAACAGGTCAATAATAACTAATAGAATGTGTCAACAACTAAAATTAGCATTAAACTTCTGTGGTCCACTGCTAGGATCAGTTTAATTGGTATTATCTTTATACTTTGTAAATAGATACAAAGGTGATATTTTCATGTTTCTCACTGCTATTGCAACCTGTATCAGGGGACTTGTAGGTTGACCATAACGTTTTTTTTTTTTTTTTTGGTATAGGTTCATTCTTCTGTTTGTTCTGTTTAGTTCCAAACTGAAAAGTCAGCTTGACATTTTATGAACCATTATTGATTGGCTTCTAGTTTCTATCCAGGTTACTTATCAATTCTTTCACTGGAAGAAAGGAACACCATTTGGAGAAGATCAGGGGATTTATAATGGATTAACTTGGTGGGAGCAGATAGACAATGGAAAGCAGCTTACGCGCAACAGAAAGTTTCTAACAGTTGTACCTGTCGTGCTGTAAGTCTTCCTATGTAATATTTACAATGTTTTATAATCTTCTGAAATTTGTTTTCTATTTTCCCTTTGGCATTTACATGCATATGGATTCACATGCTTTGAAATGTCTTGTTTGTCTACAAATCAATATGATTGGTAATCTATGTCTACCTAGATATGTTGAACTTTGTTTATCAAGTTGATTTATGAGATTTTGTTAGTTAAGTTTAATTGTTGTCTCCAATAGATATTCTTTAGTTGTGTCTCCAGAGTCTCAGACTACATAGGAAAATATCAAAAGTAGAAATTTCTTTCTTTTCCATGGCCTTTAAGATGAGCATTGAAAGTTAATAATTCTATTGGATGATGATTGAACCATGCTTATAATTTTGACATCTGAGTTACAATACAGACATAAGCATGGCAGTGCTCCACAATAAGCATTGCATGTATGAATGCACAAAAAAGGTGGAAATGGGGTGGCATGTGTGCTGTAGTTTTGCCATTGGATATCTGCTCTTTTTTCTCTCACACTCATCAAAATGAGTACATAAGCTTTCTTTTGCTGATTATATTTGTTAAAGAGAAAACTTTGCATTATGCTGATTGGTTATTTGCATTTGCATTACACACACAACACCAGTCTACAAAAAGTTCTGATTAACAACAGACTGGAAAATAATATCAAAAACAGTAGTTTGGTTGCCCTTAATTGTTTTCGTGGATGCTATGTGCCAGTATGAATTTTTTTGTTTTTAAAATTTGCTTAGTTATATTTTTTTGCCGGATCTTCTTTATGTGGACACTGCACTTAGAAGTTAGAATCTCAATTTCAAACAGGTATTTGATAGCCTCACATACGACCGATTACCAACATCCCATGCTCTTCTTCAACACTCTTGCTGTGATTGTCCTTGTAGTCGCAAAGTTTCCAAACATGCACAAGGTCCGGATTTTCGGAATCAATGGTGATAAGTGAATTAATGAGGCTCCTGTTAAGATTAGATGGTTTTGCCTGCTAAAAAAGCCACTGATCCTTCTCATATATGCTCAACAGTTACATCTCTGTATAGAAGTAGAACGAGATTTCAGAGAGTAATGTTTTCCTGCCGAGTGTGCTATGTTTTACAAGCTGTCTCTTTGTAAGACAGAATAAGTGTATTGAGTTATCTTTGTACAGTGGATAAATCTTATGTATGTGGAGAACTCTTTATGTTTTTATCCGCCTATTACATATTTTCCAAAGTGATTTCTTATGATTTACTGCCTCACAGCTAAAATGAATTGCAGGTGTTAATAACTTAATCTGTTTGCAAATCAAATGATATACTTTGGAGGATGCCTGGTGCTGGGGCTAACATCCCCAGGTGATTCAAGCCCATTTCAATTTATTTGAAAATCTTGGAATTAATGTTTGGGGGTCCCTCCTCCATAGCCGAGTGAGGCAGGCTATGTCACAGTTTCTTTTTTCTGAAATTAATGCCACCCCTCCTTTTTCCTTGTTTTGATGTTGCTGAGTAAATATGCAAGAGTTACATAAGTACTGAAATACAAATATATATATATATTTTTGGATGTTACAAATTCTTATCATTGTCTACCCAAAAAAAATCATTTATCATTCATGGAAGTGCAACTTCCCTCTACCTTTATGGTATTGATCTTTAATCATCCATCTTGCACATAAAAGTATCACTATGGGTGGGAAAAAAACAAACACACTTTAAATAAATTATTTTCCTTATTTTAAATTGTTGCTACTTTCAATCTATTTTACTTGTTACATTTTTCTATTTAGTATGATTATAGAGAAAATTATAAAGATTTATAAAAATAAATTTATTACTAATTGAATTTCATATTTACCCTTATATGAGATGGTAGGAAAGTTGGAAAGTTGTTGTTGTTGTTGTTGTTTTTTTTTTTTTTTTTCTTAAATAAGTAATTATTAATAAAATAGAATTGAAGAAAAAAGATAACTTTAATGCTATTATATTAAAAATTAAAATTAACAAATAAATTAGAGTGGATGTAGTAGTAGTATTTATGCGGCGTGAACTTATCATCTTATATTGAGTGGTTGCATTTGTCCAAAAATAAGTGTGAGCTTTTTGGTTGGGGCCTGTGAAATGGGTTTTACATTTTCCTTGTCCTTATTATTGCTCCCTCCCGCGGTTGCATTTAATTTTTTCAGTTAATTTTTACATAAAATTTAATTTAGATAATTATAAATAACTTTATATAATAGATAAATAATAGTTATTTTTTAAATGTAATATTTATTAAATATTTTTATTTAAATAAATTTTTTTAACTAGTATTTATTTATTATATTAAATTGTTAAATTAAATTTTATATAAAAATTAAATTAAATTAACTAAATTCGATAAGAGAAATTAAGCATTACTTTGTTGTTTCCAAGCATGAATTGTTCAACATGTTTCACCAGATATTCCCCACCCGACATTAGAAATTGATCACGGGTACACATTCTTTTATTTTTTTTCAACATTCATGCGTGAGAGAAAAACTGACAAATTAAACAAGACCAAAGCCATCATGGTACAATTCACTGGGCCAATGATCATCATATATAATGGAGTACAACTAAAAAATTTATTTTAGTGTTATATTATTATAATTAATATTATTTTATGAATAGGAATTTATCTTTATATAAATTTTATATATCACATTTATACATAATTTTAATCATTTATTTTTTTATTTTTAATTATTTAAATTTATTCATATTTATTAAAAATAATTATTTTTTATTTAAAAAATTATGATAAATCTCAACTATTAAAAATAAACAGATGAATGGTTAAGATATTATATAAGTTTAATGTGTAAAATTTATTTATAAGTGGATTTCTCACCTTATTTTATATAAACTTATATTTTTATATATTAATTCTCAAACAAAAATATTTAATAGAACACTTATTCTCCAATACATACACTTAAATAAAAGTTTTTAAAAATCATACCAATATTATTTTATTTAAATCATATTTTATATAATCAAATTAAAACATTAAATTGTATATGGTAGAAATTCACTCTCACGAATTATATATATACACACATAGGGGTTAGGGGTTCGTGTAGCACAGTTCATTTTTCAAAAGCATTTTTTAGGACATGTCTACAACTTATATTGTAATTCATGTTTTCAAAAATTAATTATTAAATTAAAAATTTTGTTCATGTAGATAATATATGTCAATTTTTATATTAATCTAATTTATGATTCTTTGATTAAAGAAACTCTATTTAGTTACATATATTTAGTAATGTTAAATTTTGTATAATTGGCAAATAGTTGAAGCTTATTAGATCATTCTAAAAATTAATATTTATAATATATATAAATAAAATTTCAATCCAATAATTAATTCTAGAAAATATTAATTAAAGATAAATTTTTTGACAAATTATTCAAAAAAATTAGGGAAATGAACTATAAAATATTTTTTTTTTTTGGTACGACCATTCGGTATCCAGAAGCCCATTGGGCTACTGATTAATCCGGATTCGAGCCAGGCAGGACCCAATGGTTGGCAAAGCTCTCCCTCATGAGTTTTAACAGAGCTGCATTTTCATGACTTGAATTCCAAACCTCTGATTAAACTGGAAGAGTCCCAGCCAACTCATCCACCCGCTCATGGGTGAACTATAAAATATTATATATATAGTAAGGATCTACTTATTTACAAGTTTTATACTTTATATTTATATAAAATTTTAATAATTACTACCTTCACTTTCAATGATTGACATTTGTTTATTTTTATTATAAATATTAAAAATAATTTTTTTGCCTTAAAAAATCATAATATATTTCAACTATTTAAAGTAAAGAAATGAGTAGTTGAATTTTTATCTAAATATGGTTTATAAAATTTATATATAAATAGATCTCTCATATATACATATATGAAAAAAGTGTTTCATAGATTGTCTTTCTTAAATTTTTTTTAGAGAATGTGTCTAAAAACTTATTTTTTGATTTTTATTTGCAAAAACTAATCGTTGAATTAAAAGTTTTATTTATGTAGATTATGGATGTAAATTTTCATATTGATCTAATAAGTCTAACTATTTCATTAATTACTAGAAATTTAATATCATTAAATATATATATCAATAAATAGAGTTGTTTTGATCAAATGGATATAAATGTTAAATCAATATGAATATTAATATGTATAATTTATATGAATAAAATATTTAACCTAATAATTAATTTTAAAAATATTAATTAAAATATAATTTTTAGATAAATTCTTTAGGAAAAATTTTAGGATAATAAACTTTCCTACATTATTCACTATATACATATACATATATGTCAACCGTTGAATTTAGTCAGGTGCTGGTAGACCTAGCAAACAAATCGGATTGGGTGGGTTCGGATTGAGTCATTTCAGATCCTGGGTTGTTCGGAATAGGTTATTTCAAGTGTCCGGTTAAGGAGGTTGACCCATGACCAATCCACA